ATTAACTGGTTTACATTTGCCAGTTTGTGACTTACTTTTCAACTGAATACCGGAACAAAATTAGGTATCCTCAGTTCGCATTCGGACCCTCACTATTTCAAATGTTTTACAATGACTTGGAAATTTGCTTCATACAAACAAACTTGTTGTACGTGATGCCAAAATTGGAGACAGCACAAATATTCAGGAAAATTGCAGATTCAGAAGGAAGCAGATCTTTCATGTATTTAGGCCAAATAATCAGCAGTTAAAAATTTAATGAGGATAAATGTAAAGTAAATAGCACCTGGTTAGGGAATTAAATGCGGAAATGTTAAATGTACTTTTTTTTATTCATTTGTGGGATGTGGGTGTCACTGGCTGGCCAGCATTTCTTGCCCATCCCTAGTTGCCCTTGAGAAGGTGGTGGCGAGTTGCCTTTTTGAACTGCTGCAGTCCTCCTGCTGTGGGTTGGCCCACAATGCTATTAGGGAGGGAATTCCAGGTTTTTGACCCAGCAACAGTGAAGGAGCGGCGATACATTTCCAAGTCAGGATAGGGAGTGACTTGGAGAGGAACTTGGAGGTGATGGTGTTCCCATATATACGCTGCCCTTGTCCTTCCAGATGGAAGTGGTCGTGCATTTGGAAGGTGCTGTCCGAGGATCTTTGGTGAATTTCTGCAGTGCATCTTGTAGATAGTACACACTGATGCTACTGAGCGTCGGTGGTGGAGGGAGTGAATGCTTGTAGATGTAGTGCCAATCAAGCAGGCTGCTTTGTTCTGGATGGTGTCAAGCTTCTTGAGTGTTGTTGGGGCTGCACTCCTCCAGGCAAGTGGGGAGTATCCCATCATACTCCTGACTTGTACCTTGTAGATGGTGGACAGGCTTTGAGGAGTCAGGAAATGAGTTACTCGCCGCAGTATTCCCAGCTTCTGTTGTAGCCACTCTGTTAATGTGGTGAGTCCAGTTGAGTTTCTGGTCAATGGTAACCCCCAGGATGTTGATAGTGGGGGACTAAATGGAAGTGTTCCAACTTGATGATCTCAAGAGATTTAGGATTTATGCAAGATAAATCTATAAAAACAATCAGCACTGTTTTGCTGTGGTAAGACTATACAGAACATAGAAAGTACAGCACAGTACAGGCCCTTCGGCCCGTGATGTTGTGCCGAACTTTTACCCTAAACCTAACGTCTAACCTCCACCGCAACCTTATACTATCATCCATATGCCTATCTAATATCCGCTTAAATGCCCCTAATGAGGCCGACTCCACTAACCTCTCTGGCAATGCATTCCACGCCCCTACCACTCTCTGAGTAAAGAACCTACCTCTGACGTCTCCCCAATATCTACCTCCTTTCACTTTAAAACTATGTCCCCTCGTAAAAGCTATCTCCACCCGAGGAAAAAGTCTCTGGCTGTCTACTCTATCTATACCTCTGATCATTTTGTACACCTCTATCAAGTCACCTCTCATCCTTCGTCGTTCTAAAGAGAAGAACCCTAGCTCTCTCAACCTTTCCTCCATTCCAGGCAATATCCTGGTATATCTCCTCTGCACCTTTTCTAATGCTTCCATATCTTTCCTGTAATGAGGTGACCAGAACTGGACACAATACTCCAGATGCGGCCGAACCAGGCTTTTGAATAGCTGGAGCATAACTTCACGGCTCTTGAACTCAATCCCTCTATTAATGAAAGCTAACACACCATACGCCTTCTTAACAACTCTATCCACCTGGGTGGCAGCTCACAGGGAACTGTGAACATGAACCCCAAGATCCCTCTGCTCCTCCACACTGCCAAGAATCTTTCCGTTAACCCTATATTCTGCTTTCAAGTTTGTCCTTCCAAAATGAATCACCTCATACTTTTCAGGATTAAACTCCATCTGCCACTTCTCAGCCCAGCTCTGCACTCTATCAATGTCCCTTTTGTAACCTAGAACAGCCCTCCACACTGTCCACAACGTGACCCACCTTCGTATCGTCCGCGAACTTGCTAATCCACCCTTCCACTCCTTCATCCAAATCATTTACAAAAACCACAAATAGAAGAGGGCCCAGAACAGATCCTTGTGGTACACCACTCGTAACTGAGCACCATGTTGAATATTTTCCGTCCACTACCACCCTTTGTCTTCTAAGGGTCAGCCAATTCTGAATCCAATCTGCCACATTTCCCCCTACCCCATGCCTCCTTACTTTCTGCATGAGCCTACCATGGGGAAACTTATCAAACGCCTTACTTAAATCCATGTATACCACATCCACTGCTCCACCTTCATCCACGTGTTTGGTCACTTCTTCAATGAATTCAATAAGGTTTGTGAGGCATGATCTACCCCTCACAAATCCATGCTGACTATCACGAATCAAACTGTGCCTTTCCAAGTGATCATAAATCCTGTCTCTCAGAGCCCTTTCCAATAATTTGCCCACCACTGACGTAAGACTAACTGGCCTGTAATTTCCGGGTTTATCCCTGTTCCCTTTTTTGAACAAGGGAATGACGTTTGCCTCTTTCCAATCTTCCGGCACTATACCCGTGGACAGTGAGGACGAAAAGATCATCGCCAAAGGCCCTGCGATCTCGTCCCTCGCCTTTATTTGCAGACCAAAGTTTAAACAGGTGAACCATTGCTGTAGAACTCAAATGAATAGATCCCTTCTCAAGTCCGGTGTGCAATTCTTTGCAACTAATAGAAAAGATATTGTTCAGGGAAGAAAGCAATTAGAGCAATTTTTGAAATCAGGAATTCATGTTATTTTGAAAGGTCAAAGAAGTTGGGTGCAAGGCAGGGTGAGTTAAGGTATCAGAGGCATTTTTGAAAAAAAGGTCATACCATTATGAATAATCATCAGTAACTTTTAAATAAGTAATCATGCACTGCAACATGTAATACTTACAGAGCAGCTTCAAGATAGAAGCAACATACAGTTGAGAAACAAGAGAAAATTTCCTTATACAAGACATACAAATGAACAGATAAAAATTAAAACAAAAAAACCCAGAAAATAGCGATTTATTTTGCGAAATGGTATTTGCATGAACATGGATTGTAACTGCCACAATAAAAAAAAAGTTGAAACTTTATTTAAACAAAAAGCTGCTTTGGATTCGATTAACAAATCAACAGAACAGTACGGTTAGATTAGCGAGGTATTTTGTACACGTGCTTGGATAAAAGCAATTACAATTGTGCAGTCCTGTAGTTGTACAGCCACTCTGCAAATGGTGCCTTATCAGTCTCAAAAATAAAATTCAGTTGTGAAGAGCTGATTTTGGAACAAAAGATACATTGTGAACATATAAGCCTCAAAGGCTTTCTTTTTGGGGAAAAAAAAAGAGGATGAGCTGCAGATTTGCAACAATATTAAGCCAATCTTTGCTGGAATCTTAAACAGAAGTTGGATTCAACTCAGCAGCATCTTCAATGGCATGAACAGCATGCCGAATGGCCACCTTCTACTATAACAATACTTTGATTTTACCCACTGGCATTTTTCTTGCATCATGTTTGTTGTAGACTAATTGAAAGAGACTAATATGATTTGTTGACAAATTTGTATTCACCGTATCTTGCAATGGATGGTAGAAGACAAAATAGATTAATTATGTTTTCTAATTATCTTAGCTGCATTATAAATTGTTTGGTAATTTTTCTACAAGTGGTTTCCAGGACTACCGCAACATCAACGTGGGACAGCTGAGACTATTTGAGTTAAAGGAAGCAAGAAAAAGGGTTATTTCAGATGTCAGGATGTTGTGGCACGAAGGAGTGAGGAAGTTATAATGGGACCAGCATCCTTGTCATGGATCAATCACCAGGCTTCGATGAAACATGTCACAAGCTTTAAAAGAGGCTGAGGAGGAAATAACAAAGTCTGACCATCATTTTACAATACTCACTTGGCCCCAGAGGATTGGAGGACTGCGAAATTTGTAGTTCTGTTTCAAAAGGGCAACAGATTGACTGGCCTGTAAATATTCAGTCTATCTAACCTCAGTAGTGGGCAAATTATTAGATTCTGAGAGACAGAATAAATTATTACTTACAAAGGCATGGAATAATTAGCATGAATTTGTTAACAGAAAATCATTTTTGACTAACTTGATTAAATTTTTGAGGACGTAACAAGGATGATTAATGAGAGTTGTGCAGTTGATGGATTTACATGGATATAGCAATATTTTGACAAAGTTTTATGTTACAGACAGACTGGAACAAAAAAGCCTGCAGGATCCAGGGGAATTTAGCAAGCTGGATATAAAGATGGCTCAGTGACAGAAAACAAAGGATAATAGTTTGGTAGATTTAGTAACACGAAGTCTGTTTCAGAGGGGTTCTGCAGGGTCCAGTTCGAGGTCCTCTGCTTTTTATAGAATATAGTAATAATTTGGACATAAATATAGGAGCAGTGACTGAAAAGTATGCTAGACTAAAATTGACCGTGCAGTTGATAGAACAGGTTATGCATTGCAGGAATATATTAATGGACTGGTTGGGTGGGCAGATCAGTGACAAATGCAATTCAATATGGGGAAGTGTGATCTAATCCTTTTGGGGAAATTGGCCTTGGACAACATAAATGCATTAAACATACAGAACTATAAAAAGAGAAACTGGCAGCCCTGAAATCAAATTCTAAACCCTGGAAGAAATTATACACATGGACCAAAGAAGCAATCAATCTTTTTCTGGAACTCAGAGATTCAGTGGTGTGTGGTTGGTGTTAGGTCTATTTGTCTGTCAAGTCTATTTGTCAGTCAGTCATTGTATCTTTTAAAGCAATCCCATGTCCTTGAATAATTCAACCAGAATAGGACTCACATTCATGATTACACCAACGAATAACATTGGCAGAAGATACAAATGTTTCCATAATAAAGAACTGCGGATGCTGGAAACCAGAAGCAAAAACAGAAATGGCTGGAAAAGCTCCGCAGTTCTGGCAGCAACTGTGGAGAGAAATCAGAGTTAATGTTTCAGGTCCAACCTGACCCTTCCCGAAATGTTAACCCTGATTTCTTTCCACACATGCTGTCAAACCTGCTGAGCTTTCCCAGCCATTTCTGTTTTTGCGAATGGATCTGTAGGATCTGTACTTGGTTGTCTGTAGTTCTATTTTGTACTTCCCATTTGCTCGTTTGGTGAATAGAGGTTTTTACTTTGTCGTTGAGCAATGTAAACACTCGGAAAAGGCACTCACTTTAGTTTGTCAAAATAGCAAGACAGGTCAACATGGCGTATGAGAAGGCATGTGCATTCCTTTTATTAATGGTGGCATTGAATATGAGACCAGGGAGGTGATGTTGGAACTATATAAATCATTAGCTGGACCAAAGCTTGAGTACTGTGTACTGTCTGGTCAACTCATTATAGAAAGGACATAATTACACTATAGAGCATATAAGGGAGTTTTATGAGGAAGTTGCATTTTTCCTGTCCTGACAACAATAAGAAAAGATCGGGCTCAACTTTTGGCCTGAGAATTAAGGAGATTAGAAGAGATTTGACTGCGGTATTAAGACCCTGAACAGACTGGACAAGACATTTTTGCTTTAGCATCAAGTTCAGCAAGTAATATGCATTTACTCCAAATGACTGGTAGAAGGATTAGAGGGAGATAGGAAAAATATTTTCACCCAAAGGGTGGGAGGATCTGGAACTCTCAGCCTGAAAGGGTAATAGAGGCAGAAACGCTCCACCCATTTAAAAGGTGCTTAGATCAGCATCTCCGCCTGCAGAGCTACAAATCAAATGCTGCTAATTCGGTTGAATGGCTCGTTTCTGGGTCAGCACAGACATTATGGACCAAGTTCTTTGTCATAAACTAGGATTCTATTTTATACTATTGTAAAGCTACCAAATCACTGTAGACCATTCTAGTTGGAAATGGTTATAATAATCTAGTACTATTCAAAGTATTTTGCATTGTTCTAAATAATCTAGTGAAAAGTTGTCAATCTGAAACGTTGACTGTTTCTCTCTGCTTAACCTCAAGTGCAACCAACACTTTGTGACTGAGCTTATCCACCAGATTAAAAAAAAATCAGATCAAATATTACCACAAAGCTATTTTCAACATCACTGTAGTAGATACTTCAGTTTTTAGAACCTCCAAAAAATACAACAATAATTCAAATCCAAGACTGAAATATTTCCTATACTATGTATCTTTAATTGTGGGATTATGATTAAAAGGAACGTTATCCAGAAGAATCTCTTTTCTGGGTTTAATAGCTGTGGAGAAAAAGAAAAAGACTGGTTATTGGTATCAGTATCTTATAGGTGTGGAAGCTGAGATGCTCATGGCATTTCTGCAGGTTTTTGAGGGAAGCAGGAGAAGGATTTTGTATTCCTTAAGTAAAAGCTCATCAAATGTGAAGGACAGTCAGGACAATGACAAAACTACCATTCAAATTCTGAATGGAATGATTTCTCATTTCTGTATCTATGTTTTATTTTGCTGAATAAATAATTATGTTGTCAGAAACAATTATATTTAGTCTTAAAGCTGTGGACCTTATAAAGGATTATTATGTAGAAACATAGAACGCCATTCAACTTTCAAACCATCTGTGCCATTCAATATATGATCATGGCTGATCATCTAACTCCTGTTCCTGCTTTCTTCCATAACCCTTTGGACCCTCTGCCTTATTCCTTCTTCTAAACATTCAATGTTTGGGCTTTAAGAAGTTAAATTAACTTTTTAAAAAAAAGGAAAGAGGCATGAGTACCTCCATACGTGATAAAAGCCGAAAGGACTGTAGATGCTGTAAATCAGAGATAAAAAGAGAAAATGCTGGATAAGCTCAGCAGGTCTGGCAGCATCTGTGGAGAGAAATCAGAGTTAACATTTCAGGTCGAGTGACCCTTCCTCATTTCCAGCAATTTCTGTTTTTATCTCCACATGAGTTGCCATGTTATAATGGTTCAAATAGTTGTTGTTCCTAGTCTGCAAAATTCTATATTTCTGTATTGTTAATTGTGGATTACTACCCAATGTAGGACAGGATCAAGTGTGAAACTGATTTAAATACTTCATACAAAAATATAGTAAGGGAAATCTCCAAATCAATCTCAATTTCAGCATTGTTCCAATATAGTTACAGTTACAATGCACAAGAAATGCAGTTCTTGTTTTAGTTTACAACATATTCTTTTGGTCAGGATTTTTGTAGTTAAAAGAAAGGACCTTACTTACATATTCTATTGTGGTCTGTGTGAACTCCCTGTATTACCGTTTTTCGGAGAATAATTTCAACATCTGTACCAAATTTAAGTAACTGCGAAGAAAACAAAACATTTAATACAGAGACAGTTACAAACCAAATTCTTCACACACTTCATCAAACTAACCATACATTAATTATATACAGAGAGAGAGAGATATATAAGACAGGCAATCATTGGAATCTATGCTGTGCATACTTAAGTATCCTAACTCAGAACAACTCCCATTCATCATCTTCCCTACACTCACTGATCTATTCCGAGTCCTGCTTAAACAGCATCTCCAGTTTAAAGATCTCATCTTTACTTTTAAAACTAAGCTAGGGCTGTATCACTCACTTTTTCTGTAATCTTCTCCAGTCTTACATCCACCCAAGATCTCTGTGCTCCTCTAATTCTGGCCTCTTGAATATTCTGCTTTTAATTGCTCCACCACCAGTGGCTATACTTTCAGCTGTGAAATCCGAAGCTCTGAATTCCCTTTCTAAACATCTCCATTTCTCTTTCCTTCTTTCAGATGCTCCTTAAAACCTAATACTTTGACCAAGATTTTTTCCAAGTACTTAAGAGTCATACAGCACTCAGAACAGATCCTTCAGTCCATCTTGTCCATGCCGACCAAGTTTTCCCAAACTAAACTAATCTCATTTCTCTGCGTTTCGCACATATCCCTCTGAAACCCTTCCTGTCCACGTAAAATGTCTTATGTTGCAACTGTACCTGCATCTACCACTTTCATTCCACGTATTAACCACCCTGTCTGTGAAATGGTTGCCCCTTAGATCCTTTTGAAAGCTTCCTCCTCTCACCTTAAAATTGTGCCCTCTAGTTTTGAACTCTCCAACCCTATGGAAAAGACCTTTGCTTTCACCTCATCTATGCCCCTCACGATTTTATAAACCTTTAAGGTCAGCCCTCAATCTCCTATGCTCCAGGGAAAAATGTCCCAGCCTATCTAGCCTATTTTTATACCTCAAACCCTCCGTTCCCAGCAACATCCTTGTAAATCTTTTCTGAACCCTCTCCAATTTAATATTATCCTTCTTATTGCAGGACGACTAGAACTGCACACAATACTCTAGAGAAGGTCTCACCAACGGCCTGTACAACCTCAATATGACATCCCAACTCCTACACTCAATGGTCTGTGCAATGAAAGCAAGTGTGCTAAACACCTTCTTAACCGCCCTGTCTACCTATGATGCAAATTTCAAAGAACTATATACCTGAACGCCTACATCTCTGTTTTACAACACTATCGAGCAGCCAACCGTTAATTGCTCGAACAGTTCATCAACTTTACTAACACCTTCCACGCCAACCTCAAGTTCACCTGGACCATCTCTGATACCTCTCTCTCCTTCCGGGACCCCTCTGTCTCCATCTCTGGTAACCACCTTGAAACTGATATCTATTTCAAGCCCACCAATTCCCACAGATACCTAGACTACACCTCCTCTCACCCACCTTCCTGCAAGAATACGATCCCCTATTCCCAATTCCTCCACCTCCGCCACATCTGCTCCCAAGATGAGGCGTTCCACTTCCTGACGTCCCAGATGTCCTCATTTTTCAAGGAACGCAATTTACACCCCCCCAGTGGTTGAAAACACCCTCTACCACATCTCTTGCGTTCCTGCACCTTGGCCCTCACACCCCCTCCCCACACTAAAAATAAAGACAGAATTACCCTTGTCCTCATGTATCACCCCACCAACATCCGGATTCAACGCATCATTCTCCGCCACTTCCTCCACCTGCAATCTGACCCCACTACGAAGGATATATTTCCCTGCCCACCCTTATCTGCTTTCCGGAGGGACCGCTCTCTCCACGACTCCCTCATCCACTCCACACTCCCCACTAGCCCCACCAACCCTGGCACCTTTCCCTGCAACCGCAGGAGGTGCTACACCTGTCCCTTCACCTCCATCCCAGGCCCAAAAAAAACCTTCCACATTAAACAGATGTTCACCTGCACATCCGCTAATGTGGTCTATTGTATCTGTTGTTCCCGATGTGGCCTCCTCTACATCGGGGAGACCAAGCGGAGGCTCGGAGACCACTCTGTGGAGTACCTACGCTCGGTTCACGACAAACAACAACACCTCCCAGTCGTGAACCACTTCAACTCCCCCTCCCATTCCCTGGACGACATGTCCATCCTGGGCCTCCTCCAGTGTCACAACGACGCCACCCGAAAACTGGAGGAACAGCACCTCGTATTCCGCCTTGGAACCCTACAACCCAATGGTCTCAATGTGGACGTTACTAGCTTCAAAATCTCCCCACGCCTGACCTCATCCCAAGACCAGCCCTCCTTCTCATCCCCGCCTCCTCGACTTGTCCATCTTCCCTCCCACCTACCCGCCCCTTCCTCCTCACTGACCAACCCCCATCCCAACTTCCTACCTACACTCACCTTTACTAGCTTCATCCCCACCTCCTTGACCTGTATGTCTTCTCTCCCACCTATCTGCTCCACGATCCACCTTCTATCACCGCCCCCCTGCCCCGCTCTTTATTTATTTCAGAGCCCCCTTCCCCTCCCCCATTTCTGAAGAAGGGTCCAGACCCAAAACGTCAGCTTTCCTGCTCCTCTGATGCTGCCTGGCCTGCTGTGTTCCTCCAGCTCAACACCTTGTTATCTCACACTCCAGCATCAGCAGTTCCTACTATCTCTATTATTAATTGTATAAGCCCTGCCCTTGTTTGTTTTACCAAAATGCAACACCTCACATTTATCCAAATTAAACTCCATCCGCCACTTCTCAGCTAAATGGCCCAAGTAATCAAGATCCCTTTGTAAATTTAGATAACCTCCTCTACTGTCTCACATACGATCAATCTTGGTGTCATCCACAAACATCGTAACCATGCTTCCTAAATTCTCATAATAAATAAAATATGTTTCTGTGAAGTTTCATCACATTAAAAATGCAAGCTGTTGTTATGTAATTTAGTTGAGAGAAAGACAGGACTGATAGCTTAACATTCTGGGATTTAGACGTTTCAGGTGGGATAGAGAGGCATATAAAATAAGTGGGGTAGGACCTTTACTGATATCACATGTATTCAGGGAGAGGTCATCCAGTGAGACCATATGGGTGGAGCTCAGGAACAAGAAGAGTGCAGTCACTTTGATGGGATTGTATTACAGGCCTCCAACAGCCAGTGAGTGATAGAGGAACAGATTTGTGAACAGATTATGGGAAAAATGTGAAAACAGCAAGGCTGTTGCGGTGGGTAATTTCAACTTTGAATGGGACTCACTTAGTGCCAGGGCCTTGAATTTGTTAGGTGTATCCAGGACAGCTCTTTGAAACATTATGTAAATAGTCCAACTAGAAAAAGGGCCATACTCGACTTGGTATTGGGTACTGAGCCCAGCCAAGTAATTGAAGTTTCAGTGGGGAAGCATTTCAGGAATAGTGACCATAATTATGTAAATTTTAAGTTACTGATGGATGAAAGTAGTCCTCAGGTCAAAGTACTAAAGGCTAACTACCACAAAATTAGGCAGGAACTGGGGAATGTAGACTGGGGCAGCTATTTAAGAGTAAATCCGCATCTGGCATGTAGGAATCTTTTAAAGACCAGTTGATCAGAGTTCACGACCATTATGTTCCTGTGAAAATGAGGACAAAGATGGCAAGATTCGGGAACCTTGGATGGTAAGAGAAATTGAGAGCGTAATCAACAAGAAAAAGGAGGCATATGTAAGGTTGAGGAAACGGAAGACAGAACACAAAGATAGCTGGAAAGAACTCAAACAAGGAATGAGGAGGGCTAAAAGGTACCATGAAATACCTTTGGCACACAGTATTAAGGAAAATTGCAAGGCGTTTTACACATACATAAGTAGCAAGAATATAGCTACAAAAATGGTAGGTCCACTCAACGACGGAGGACGTAATTTATGCCTGGAGCTGGAGGAAGTGAATGAGGTCTTTAACGAATACTTTACATTGGTATTCACAAAAGGTGAAGGACATGGTAGATGGTGAGTCTCAGGAGTGCTATGTTGACATTCTGTGGCATGCCATATATTAAAATGACAGAAATTGCTGGAAAAGTTCAGCAGGTCTGGCAGCATCTGTGAAGAGAAATCAGAGTTAACATTTCAGGCCTGGTGAGCGTTCCTCAGAAGGGTCACCAGACCCAAAACGTTAACTCTGATTTCTCTTCACAGACGCTGCCACACCTGCTAAGTTTTTCCAGTAATTTCTGTTTTTGTTTCTGATTTACAGCATCTGCAGTTCTTTCCGTTTCTAATATTAAAAAAATTTTTGGGTATTTTGAAAAGCATTATAGACAAGTTTCCAGGACTAGAATGCTGAGGGAGGCAGGTGAGGAAATTGCTGGGGCCTTATACGAATTCTTTGTATCCTCCTTAGTCACAGGAGAGACCCCAAAGGGCTGAATTATAGCCAATGTTGTTCCTTTGTTTAAGGAGGACCAAAGGGATAATCTGGGACATTACAGGCTGGTGAGCCTTACATCAAAGATAACGAAATTATTGGAGAAGATTCTTCACAACGGGATTTACTCACATTTGGAAAAACAAGGACTTATTAGCAATAGGCAGCATGGCTTTGAGCAGGGACAATCATGTCTGACAAACTTGATTGAGTATTTTGAGGAAGTGACAAAGATAATTAATGAGGGCAGGGTGGTAGATGTTGTCTACATGGACTTTAGCATACTGTAGAATAGCACAATTTTCATAAGTGTAAGTAATCGCAACTGACACTGTTAATACTGTACCAACATCTTTTCTCCACAGCACTCAACACCCCACCACTCCCACATTCCCACCACCCCCCCAAACTATAGCATAAATGCTGCCCCCGCCACCCTTCACATCAGCTCTGATGAAGAATCATCTAGACTCAAAATGTTAGGTTGCTCTCTCTCCATGGACGCTGTCTAACCCACTGTGATCTCCAGCATTTGTTGTTTTCAGGACAGATTTCAGCATCTGCAGTAATTTGTTCCTGACATTGTATTAATGTACCTACTAATACCAACGATAGAATTTGATCATAAATCGCCTTGGGCCTTAAGTCAATACTTATGCACACACCCTAAATATGTGTAAAGGTAACACAGAGACATTCATGTAATTCGACACTGAACTCATGATGAACACAATCTTTCATCAGCATAATACAAGATGGGTATAAAGTCTTGTAAAGATTTCCATAAACAGACCTCAGTTATTTTCTCCGGAGACGACTCAGTAAGATTGTTCCGGAATTCAGCGTTAATATTCTGTCTTGCGGCTAAGCAGCGTGATACAAAGTTAGTTTCAATTCATTACCAAACTCCAAACACAAATATGCATAAATTCAAGTCTTGTGTATTGAATAATGATCCAGGCTTGAGTAATTCATTTAGGATCCTAAGAAACATCACAAGTTTTCTCACTTGAAATATTATCTAAAGACGTTCTACATTACCAAACATTATGAAACAAACACAAATTTGAGGTTGTTGAAGTTGGTTGGCTCGCCGAGCTGGTTTCTTATTTCGCAGACGTTTCGTTACCATGCTT